CCCAAAGATGCACTCCAGGCCAGCACCCTGCAGCCCGAGCTGAGCAGCCTTTGTTCCCATGAAAAGGAGTTTTCCTCCCTTTTTCTTGGAGAGCCTTCCTCGGCTGGCTGAGGGAGATCAGATCCCTGTCCTGGCCTAGATTCCACCAACAGCTTGTGGGAAATTCTGGACTTCAGTTTACCCTCCTGGAAAGTGGTTGCTTGGGGGAGTGAGTTGAAAGGAACAGAATCTCTGTGGAACTTTCTGGAGCTGTGGCCTGAGTCAGGATTGGGAGATCAGGAGGCCTGGGAATCAGTTCCAGCCACATGGGGTCTGGGACTCTGGTGGTAGGTTCTCTCTGCGCTATGGACAGAAAGAGGACAATGTCACCTTTCTCCAGTGCCCCCTCAGCACCTGGAGATGAGTCTTAATCTCTGAATTCTCTCTGCCTCCAAGAACTTCCTGCTGTCCCCATTTGCCAGCTAAGGATAAGATGATGCTGGTATGAACCCATGGGGATGTACAGAGAACTGGGGAAGGAAGGAAGGAGGGACTGAGTTGATCATTTATCAGGAACCCATCTGGGGTAGCTAACCTGGTCCCATGGTACCAGCATTAACCCACTCCTGAAGGTAGAGTGCTCACGAACCCATCTCTCTTACGCTTCCCACTCTCAACACGGTTAGACTGGTGACCATGTTTCTGACGCAAACTTTACAGGACCCACCCGAGGACCCGGCCCCTCTGACTCCCCAGGCTGCAGTGCTAATGTGCCTTCCGTGTGGACCTCGCTACGGAGTTTCCCTATGCACAGTCCTGGTTTTGGAAGCCCCTACTCAGTGGGGTTTTGTTTCCTGTGCTGGGGCCAGCAGGGCGGTGTACAATATTGTTCCAGTGGGAAGATATGGTTCAAACTGTCCAGCCCCCAACAGCAGATTTTCCAAGCAGGTTTGCAGCCTAGGTTGTCCCTGCAGCGGGGACAGCCTGTGTCAGCTCTGGCCTCAGAAGGATCTGTAAGTGGAGGTGAGTGGGAAGCCTGGCTACTTCAATCCTTAAAACCATCATTGCTGTGGCTTTCCTGCCCTAGGCTATCTCTGAAGAAGAACACATCTCAAATGTTCTCTTGCTCAGAACCTGGCCACTGGTGGGTTTCCTGGGTTTCTCATATGGGAAAACAGAACATAAAAAGGCTCTCACCTTAAATGCTACCCCTACCCCCTTAACCCCCCCACCCCCCACTGCCGCCGCCTCAAACTTACATCTGAAAAGAGAAGACATACATCCCACCTGGGAAAAAGCCATTTCTTGGAGATCTGCAGAAGGATGGAGCCTGGCTGGTACCGGAGCTACAGTCAGCCCAGCTGGGACAAGATTCTATATAGGTGTTCCCTGTGTTCACACTGGTCTCATCGTCTTGCCTTGGGCAAGGCATGCAGCTCTGTTTCTGCCCCCAGGGGTCTGGAGGATGCCAGTGGGAGCCTGGAAGGCACTTGTTCAGTTCTGAGGCTGTGCAGCTGAGATGTGTAGGGGTAAAGCATCGCCGGGGTGATGAGTGAGTTCCCTTGCTCCTCATCCTGCCAGGGCGTAGTCCTGGGTGTGCTTTGTCCTATTCCTAGGTGGTTCTGTAGAAGAGTCCTTGTTGCTCACAGTGGTGGCCTCGACGGCACGCTGTGCATGAACTGTCTTCCAGGAGCATCTCTCTTTCCTGTTCTTTGATTCCCACTCTCTGGGGTCACCTGCCTAGCTCTGGATCTAGATCCAGGTAACAGAAGGCTTCAACAGGTGTTCTCATCTCAGCCTTTCATCTGGGGAGTACCCAGGCTGAGAGACATACATTTCAGAGGTCCCCAAAGACACTATATATGTAAGGAGGATCCAAGGTTTTGATGCCCCGGGCCATGTCCCAGTCCTAGTTAGGATACTCCCAGGGAACAATGGGGGAAGGGTGGCAGGGGCTGAAAAGTCCACAGTGTGACCTGACCTATTACTTCTGTTTTGCATAGAAGGAGGCAGAGAGGGGGCATTGGTGACCTGAGACTCAGTGGCATCAGAGAGTGGCCTACAACCTGGCCACTATGAACTTGGATGAGGTAGTGCTGTAGAGCAGATGTCCTCAACCTTCCTAACGCTGCGACCCTTTAATACAGTTCCTCATGTTGTGGTGACCCCCCCACCATAAAATTATTCCCATTGCTACTTCATAACTATAATTTTGCTATTATTATGAATTTGTCATGAATCTAAATATTTTTAGAAATGGAAATTTGCCATTTGTCAAACGGGTCGTGACCCACAGGTTGAGAACCATTGCTATAGAGCAAGGTCACACTCTGGCCTGGAAGAGCCAGGGCCATGCTGAAGCCCTGTCTGTGTGGCTTGTGCACTGGAGCATTGTGTCACGTTCCTGGCTCCAGACCCTGTGATTGTCCTCACTCTCTCCCGCTTTTGGCTTTTGCCTGGTATGGCTTTAGTTCCAGCCCACTTCTTTGCCTGGTGAGTTACTTTGTAGATAACAACCAAATCTAGGTGACTTAAAACTGCAGAAATGGATGATCTCACAGGTCAGGGCACCAAAGTCTCAGTTAGTAGGGAGGGCAGGGCTATGCCCTACTGTTCTGCCATTTTTTAAAAGAAGATTTATTTGTTATGTATACAGTGTTCTGCATGCATATGTCCTTGCAGGCCAGAAGAGGGCACCAGATCTCATTGCAAATGGTTATGAGCCACCATGTGGTTGCTGGGAATTGAACTCAGGACCTCTGGAAGATCAGTCAGTGCTCTTAAACACTGAGCCATCTCTCCAGCCCCGTTCTGACATTTTTGTCAACTGGTCTTTCCAACAACCATTGGCCTTAACTTACAGATTGGCCACTCCCATCTCTGCTTTTATCATTACGTACTGTCTTCTCCCCATTTGTATGTCTGTGTCCAGATTTCTCTCCTTATATAAGGACAGTGGTCACATCACATTAGTGACCTAGTGACCTCATTATGACTTCACTGCATCTGCGAAGACCCTGTGAGACCCAATTAAGGCCACATTCATAGGACTGGAGGTTGGGATTTCAACATGGTATCTTTTTTGGAGGGTGTGTGTGTGTGTGTCAGAATTCAACCCATTACATCCAGTGTGTTCCTTCTGCATTGGCATCTGGGCCCAGTCCTCCCAACCTGTTGGCCCTTCTTTCACTTGGATTAGGTGCTCATGGTAGTGGCCGTGCAGGGTGGAGTGGAGGGGTCCGAGGGAGGAGTGCACATCATGTATAATGTGCAGGGCAGTGACATGGAGTGGAGGGAGTGAGAGGAGGTGTTTGATGCTTTGCTTCTGGGGTTTACGTCTGAGCAGCAGGATGTCCGTGTACCTGTGTACGTGCTTGTGGAGGTCGACCTTGAGTGTCATTCCTCAGGAGCTGTCTATCTTGTTGTTTTGAGACAGGGCCTCTCACTGGCTTGGAGCTCACCAAATAGGTGAGGCTGCTTGGCTAGTGAACCCAGATATCTGCCTGTTTCTGCCTCCCAAGTGCTAGGATTACAAGGATGTGCCCCACACTGGCTTTTTATGTAGGTACTAGGGATCAGTCTTGGTTCCTAACATGGCAAGTACTTCATTGACTGAGCTCTCTCTCTCTCCAGCTTCACAAGGCCCCTTAAGCTTTCTTAGAGATAGGGTGACCAGCCATTCCAATTTCATTCTATTGCTGTGATAAAACACTCTGAACAAAAGCAACTTAGAGGAGAAAAAGGGTTTATTTCACCTTACACTTCCAGGTCTTAGTCCACGGCTCACGCAGCTAGCCTTTTTATACAGCTCAGGACCAACTGACTAGGAATGGTACCGCCCACAGTGGGCTGGATCCCCCCACATCCATCCTCAATCAAGAGAATTCATTGCAGACACGACTACAGGCCAGTCTGACTCTTCAATTGATGTTTCCTCTTCCCAGGTGACTCAAGGTTGCGTCAAGTGAACCATAAAAACTAACAAGTCCACCTGCCATTCTGGTGTGTTTGCTACTGTCACAGTATTAGCATTTTAAGACCAGTGTCCTGGGAAATCTCTTTGTCCAGGCTAACCAGTCCTTTCTATCACCTTCCTTAGAGATCCCAGGAGGCTCTCCCTGGGCTGTGACCAGGAAAGCATCGTAATGAACACTCCATCCTAGTTACTGAAGAATATGTGTCCAGCATCTGGGCTTTCCTGGTGGCATGGAAAAATGGAGACACCACCTGAGAAGGGAGGATAGGCTCCAGAGCGCAGAGGTGGTCAGGGCCTGTGTGTGACCCTAGGGCCTGAGAACCCTGCAACAGTCCATGGTATCCTCTTCTTGCCTCTCAACTGGGAGGCTGCCTGGTCTCATCAAATTTAGATTAAAGATGTGATTTTGGGGGATGCCTGCTACTCTTCTGAGACTCAGGCTATCCCACCTCCACACTGGGCAAACAGGGGCCCCATCTGCTGCCCCCCAATTTCTGCTGCTTGCCTTCCTTCCTGGATGGTACCACACATGTGCCGGGTGCCTGTGGAGGTCAGAAGAGGGCGTTGGATGCCTGCAAACTGGAATTATAGTTATGAGTCATCATGTGGTTGCTGGGAATTGAACCTGGGTCCTCTGGAAGAGCAGCCAGTGCTCTTTACCTGCTGAGTCATCTTTTCAGCTCCCAGACCTGGCTTTTATGTGGGTCATGGGGCATCAAATTCAGGTCCTCATGTTTGTGTGGCTAGCATTATATCGACTGGGCCATCTCCCCAGCCCAATGGGTCTCCCCAACATTTTGAGTTCAGACTCAGTCTCCAATGTACCCCAGGAATGGAGGCTCTAGTGTGGGTCTGAGACTTTTTGGGTGAGAAGAAGCCAGCCTGGCCTCAGAGAGTCTGGCTCAGTTCCTAAGTATCTCTGGACCCTTCCCTGCCCCCAAATCCAAATAGAAACCAGTTTCCATGGCAAGGTGAGGTGTGTGTGGGCGCTGGGGTGTGGGTGGGAACAATGCTTCATTAAGAGGCTTCTAATGAAATGGAGATCTTCCAAGGCAAATGTTAATTGCAACCTGCAAGCACAGATGTTTCTGGGATGGAAAGAAAGGCTGCAGGTAGGGAAGGTCAACCTGCCACTGTGGGAGGGAGCAGGTGGGACTGGCCTGGCCTGCTTGCCCACTGTACCCCAGAGCATCAGGGATCCTGGAGGCCTCTGAGAGTGTGTGAGTAACAGAGCATCTTGTCAACCAAGTGCTGGGCTTGTCTGCAACTTTCCCATTGGCTCCAGAATGGGCCTTGTTCTGTATAGATTGATACCGGTTTGGGGTATTCCGTGTCTGGACTGAGATTCCCAGGGAGACCTGGGAGCAGCACATGGGCTGGGAATCAATGAGGTGAGGCAACCTCCCTTCTTTTTCTACAGACCTAAGTGATACATTTGGTGAAGAAGCATTTATTATCTACTGTGTTCTAGAAATACTCATCTAGTTCCTGCCATTGGTAGGTGGCAGTGAGAAACGAGGGTCAGTAGTCACTGACTCGCAGTCTAATGGAGGAGGTGGTCAGAACAAGAATCGGTGTAACTTGGTGTGGTGGTTTGAAAGAAAATGACGCCCAAAGGGAGTGGCACTATTAGGAGGTGTGGTCTTGTTGGAGGAAGTGTGTCACTGTGAGGTGGGCTTTGAGGTCTCTTATATGCTCAAGCCATGTCCAGTGAGACAGATCATTTCCTGTTGGCTAAGAGTCAAGACTTTGGACTCTCAGCTCCTTCTCTAGCACTGTGTCTGCCTGCACACCACCATGTTGCACCATGATGATAATGGACTAAACCTCCGAAAATGTAAGCCACCCCAATGAAGTGTTTTCCTTTGTAAGGGTTGCGGTGGTCATGGTGTCTCTTCATAGCAATAGAAACCCTAACTAAGACATTTGGTAAGCTGTGGTTTGGTGCTGGTTAGGTCCCCCCCCCCCCCCCTCCAGAGCTGAGGACCGAACCGAGGGCCTTGTGCTTGCTAGGCAAGTGCTCTACCACTGAGCTAAATCCCCAGCCCCAGCTGGTTAGTTTTAAATGTCAACTTGCCACCACTTAGAATCACCTCAGAAGAGAGGGACCGCCTGGGTCAGGTTGGTCTGTGGGTACGTCTTGGGGGATTGTCTTGATTGTTGACCGATGTGGGAAGATCCAATCCAGTGTGGGTGATGCCATTCCTCGGTGTTGGGTCCTAAGTAGCATAAGACAGGAGAAAGCTGGCAGGGCATGAGAAGACAAGCAGTTGTCACGGGTGTGTTTGTCTCTCTCTGCTCTTGAATGTGGATGTGATGTGCTTAGCTGCTAAGTTCCTTCCTTGAATTCCCCAAAATGATGGACTGTAACCTGCCTTTGTAAGCTGAATAAACTGTTTCCTGGCTTATGTTGCTTTTGGTCAAAGTGTTTGTTGTAGCAATAGGGAGGAAGATACGGCAAGTGTCTTGGAGGGATTCAGAACCTAAGATTAGGCAGGAGGGTGCAAGCAGTTGGTTGTAGGATTAGCATGGCTGGATAATTTACTGGATGCAAGGGAAAGTGAAGGATAGAACCGCAGCACAGAGTTGAAGTTGATAGTGGCCTGAGCACTTCTTGGTGAAGGCAGAGACGAAGGTGGAGTGGCATGGTGTCTATGATGGAGCAAGAGGCCTTGATGAGGCAGGGTGGGCTGGAGAGGGTGTTGTCTCCAAGGAGACCTCCAGGCTCTGAATCTTCCTGGCATCTGTCCTCTAGGCCATGGTAGCTCTGGTCCCTGGATCACTTTCCTAAGGACAGGAGACATGGAATGACTTGGAGTCTCACCCAGTGCTGACAGGGGATTTTGCCATCCAGGAAGAAGTGGGGCTTTGAACTAAGATCTTTTCAAACATAGAGCCTACCCAGGTAGCCAAAGTCCATGTCTGGGCATGACATTTTCTGCACAGCCACTGTATGATCTATTGATGGAGACTTCTTGTTATCTGGGTCCACAAAGGGACGTGTCACTGATGATTGAGCTGATGGTTCCAGCTTTCCTATTTTTCTCTTCTCCCTCTTCAGCATGGATCGGGACCCCTTCCTATTCAGGACTCAGTGTGATGCCCGTGGCACATAGCTTGTGCTGGGCTCTGTGTAGATGAGCCCTGGACCTGGTAAGCACTGACTTCAGGCCTTTCTTGGGAACTAACCCCATCCTCCACCTCAGCCTCAGACCTCTTTGTGGCCATTCTTATGAACCAGAAAAGAAGTGGCCCTCTCCAGCCAGAATGCACACGGAGATCTATGGGGTTTAATAAGGACATCCAAGACGGCATTATTGCAGTTTTCTGGTGACATTCGCTCTTTGGGGAGGTAAATTTCCTTCCTTTTAATCCACTGTTTCTTAAGCAGGTGACCCGCTCCGTGTTATTACAAGCAGGTTATTATGACCATAAATCCTTCTGCTTCTGCTTCTTCCATTTACATTAAATATAGTCTCAGTTATGGCGCCTAAATTAGCTTTCATAGGAGGAAATCTCGGTATAATTTAAAGGGGATGAGGAATATGAGCAGGGAGGGGGAGGGGAGGGAAAAATGAGAACAGAAAGAAGGTTTTGGACTCCAAACAAGGACTGAGCCTAGATCAGACCTTCCAAGATGCTCAGAGCCCTCAAAATGAAGGTGTTCTGAAGCTCTGCATCTGACACCTCTGTGTAACATCTGTATTGCAAGGGCACTGGGTCAAAAAGGTGGAGACAGTCCTTGCATGATTTCAGCTATAGAGCATTCTAGAAAGAAACACAACTGTGGAGATAAGATTGGCCAGTGGTTGCCAGAGACTCCCTGGGGAGCAGGGGGAGGGATGGATAGATGGAAACTGGGACATTTTAAGGACAGTGGAAGTACTTTGTGTGACACAGGGGTGATGGAACCTTGATGTCAGTGGTGGTGGGACTTCGGTGTCAGTCCATCCATTGCAGGATTTTATGTACCACACAGCCGAGGCTTAAATAATAAGGAAGACTGCGAGGTGGGTAGGAAGGGTGTTGGAGAACTCTTTTTTTGTTTTGCTGTAAAGCCACTAAAAATATAGTCTTGTAATAAAAGAGAAGAGGGCTATAGAGAGATCTCAGTGGTTAAAAGCCTGTGTGCTCATGCAGAGGTCCTGAGTTTGGTTCCCAGCACCCACACTGGGTGACTCACAACTGCCTCTGACTCCAGTTCCAGGGGATCTAATGCCCTCTACTGGCCACCAAGGGCACTGAACTACTCATGTGCATATACCTCTACACAATATACATATGCATAATTAAAAATAAAATAATCTTAAAAAATAATAAAAGCGGAAAGGTGGGGAGAACACACGAGCTCGTGAGAATCTCCGGAAGCTGTGGTGCGCCTGTGGATCACTTACCCACAGTCCTGAGTGGACTGAGGCAGGAAGTGAGCCAGCACTAGGGGGCGTTGTTTGCACCCTCATCTTCCTTTTCCTCTTGACTCCATTCTGTATCCAAGGGGCCGAGCTGCAGGAATGATTCAAAGCCAGCAGGGCATGGTGGTGCATGCCTTTAATCTCAGTACTCACTCTATGAGGTCAAGGCCAGCCTGGTCTACGTAGTGAGTTCCAGGACAGCCAGGGTTACACGGTGAGACCCCCATCTCAAAAAACCAAAGAGTCAGGGCAGGAAAGAGTCAAAGCAAATTCTTGAATGTAAGACGTGTGTGTCTCATTGAAGTTTCTATTTGTGTTTCTCTGATGACTCAGAATGTGAAAATCTAGGCCTGTTTTCCATTTTAGTGTCTTTTAAAAATGTGTGTGTGTGTGTGTGAGAGAGAGAGAGAGAGAGAGAGAGAGAGAGAGAGAGAGAGAGAGAGAGAGAGAGGATAACCTCCCCACTTTCCACCTTGTTTGAGACAGTGCTCCTTATTGCTGCAGATTCTCCCATTTCTAGTTGGCTCACTGGGGTTACATTTGCGTTACTGTGTCTGGCTTAGATGTGAGTTTTGGGGATCTGAACTCAGATTATCAGACTTCTGTGGCAAGTGCTTTTATGCCTGGAGCCATCTTCCTGTTCTGTTTCCCTCCTTAATCTTTTGTGTGCACGTGTTTGGGCACAGGTGTGGGCACATGTGTGGCATGGTGTGTGTGTGGAGACCAGAGGACAGCCCCCATTGCTGGTCTTCACTCCTCATCTCCTTTGAGACAGGGTCTCTTGTCTATTGACACATAGGCCAGGGGCGCTGGCCTGTGAGCTTCCAGGGATCCCCCTGTCTCTACCTCCCATAGTGTAGGAACCCTGGGATTATGGCTGTGCACCGTCACTTCCAGCTTTGAGATGAGTTCTGGGGCTCCCACATGGCCAGTGCTGTACCCACCAAGCCATCTCCCCAGCCCTGTGCCTTTTATCATCACTGTGTTATACTGGGTTATATAAGGATTTGTGTGTTTCCTTTCCTGGAGTGTATGTTCCACTCTCTTTATCTATTATTTGTTTTGTTATTCTTTTGTCAATTGTATTGTCCTCCATTTTTTTGTGAGCTGTCTTTGGTAGATACATGTATTACAAATATTTTCTCTCAGCTTACATTTCCCTTTTCATTTTCCTAATGGAGTCTTTCAGTGAGATTTTTCAATTTTATTGAAATTAATTTTATCACTAAAAACAAAAAAATGATAGCAGGCTGGAGAGATGGTTCAGCAGTTAAGGTACTTACTACTCTCCTAGAGAACCTGATTTCAGTTCCCAGCACCCAAGTCAGGGGGCTCATGACTCCATGCACGTAGCATACATTTACAAACACATGCAAAAATAAAAATAAAATCTTCAAAAATTAAAAAAACCTCTGGACATCAATCAATAATGGATATATGCATGTATCCATAGATATCCAAATACATCTATCTAGATATCCAGGTAGGATGGAGCATGCCTGGAACACATTGGAGAGGCTGAGGCAGGAGGATTGCTAAGAGTTAAAGGTCAGCTTGGGCTCCATAGCAAGTACCAGGTCAACTAGGGGTATTGTAACAAGACCCTGTCTCAAAAAACAACAAAAAAGGTGATTTAATCTTCTTTGTAAGATCTTTTCCAAGTTCACACAAATATTATTTCCTATGTTTTGAGAAGCCTA